AAAGAATTGACAATTGGATCATGAACCTTCAATATCTTCTTCATTTCTTATAGTTGACATAGGAAATATTCGAATTTGAAACTTTATTTTAAAAATACGAATATTAAATGTCTATAAGACTACACTAATATATCCTATTATAATTATACTAAAGTCTAATGTTCATAAACACTACTACTAGGGATGTCTCTGAACTTCTTCTCCAACGTTTCAGTCAATTGAATATCATTAGAAAGAGAGGAGAGGTAAAAGCAGATAGAGATAAGAGCAACTGCAACAAAAATCCTCTACCCTTACTCGGTGTCTCGCTTACTATTCATTTTATGCTGTCAAGTAAAATTCTTTACTTCTAAAACATAGACTCCAAATCTTAAACTCTAACAATATAAACAAATAACCATGATTTTAATATACAAAATTTATTTGACATGTGATGTAAAATTATTAAAAAATAAATTTAAAAATCTTAATTTAAATTTTATTCTTTTAGAACATGTGGTTTTGTGTGTAACTCTCCCGAGTGGGCTTTTGAGTCTTTGGATTTGGACCTTAAACTTGGTTATGACAAGTAGTATAAATAAACCATCATTGAGTCTGAAAATCTTAATCCAAAGTCTAGTCAAATAGAAAATTGTTGGATGATAACTTGGAGAAAGGTTCCCTAAAGTAGTATGGATAACAAAGAGAACAGAATCAGAATAAGAGCTGGGTGGGGGACCCCAAAATTAGCCTAATAAACACACTTTCAAGATCCACATGCAAAATCGGCTAGCCGTGAGTTGGGTTGGGTCCTTAACTCCTTTGAGCAATCCCTATATGAAGACCACACCACAAACTAAAATCTGGCTCTTCCTTTCCCGAAAGGGCCATGACCCATGACCCAAATAAATAAAAATAAAAAATTGAATAGGACGAGAAGGATTTTTCCTTCTCAAAGTATCTTCCTTCCGTCACCGTTTTATTTGACCATTCTATTCGCTTATCAGTTATCAGCATCGTTTTTTCCTACCGTCATCGTCACCGTCACCGTCACTCCATGTCAAGTAAATGGCCTCCAACACGCTGACGTTTGTGGTCTTTAACGATTAACTAACATACTCAATGTCGAAATGAAGCGGTACATTAACGGTAACCGTTATGTCTGCTTTCCTCTTCGATTTCTCTCTTGCCCTAGGCTCCTTGCTCGCCAGAGATTAAAATTGCCCAAGAAGATCTCTCTTGTTGGGATTCTAAGCCAAGACTCAAGAGGTAAATCTTTAAATATCTCTTCTTCTTGTCTAACAGCTTTTCTTTGTTTTTCCTGCTTTAGATTAATACTGTGTTTTATCCTTCATAGGTTTCTCTCTAGGTAAGGCAAGATAAAGGTGATATTTTTTGATGATATTCATCAATGAAAGTTCATTACTTTCTAATTCAGAAGTGAAAGATGATTGAGTTTGTTTCATTTTGTTAGTTTCATGAGCTTTGGGTTTGATTTGTTGAGATTTTAAGTTGTTTTATGGACTAAAACCAGAAACTCATTTAGTGGATAAGGGATGAAAAAGGTGATTTTTTTATGTTAGTCATCAATGAAGTTGAAGTGAAAGATTATTGGCTTTTTGTTCTTTTTTTATTGGTTTGATGAGCTTGGCTTTGATTTGCTGAGATTATAAGTTGTTCTTTGGACTAAAAAAGGAATTCCCTTTTACTGGATAAGGTCTAGTAAAGATGGGAGAAGATTTGCTCACAAGCTTGTCTATTGAAAATCACCACCCATCAACAGTTTTATCGATGGATTCAAGTTCAGTCTCTCATGACGAATTAGATAGAGAGATGAACCGGTCAATTGCTCTTTCTAGACCACCTGATATTAATCTGATTCCTCTATCTGCTGAGCGTAGTCCTCCACAATCATGGAATTCTGATCCATTAGATATGTTAGATGTTGGTCTTGGAACTCAAATCAATGAAGTTGACACTTTGGTTACTGTGTCCAAAAGCGGGCGTAAATGTGCCAAGAGATTGGATAGTGTTTGGGGTGCTTGGTTTTTCTTTAGTTATTATTTTAAGCCTGTGTTTAATGAAAAATCAAAAGTCAAGGTGACAAGGGATGGCAATGGAGTCTCTGGGTTTGATAAGTCAGATCTTGAGCTGGAGGTGTTTTTAGTTCAGCATGATATGGAGAATATGTATATGTGGGCTTTTAAGGAGAGGCCTGAGAATGCACTGGGTAAGATGCAGCTGAGGAGTTACATGAATGGCCATTCACGTCAAGGGGAGCGTCCTTTTCCCTTTAGTGCTGACAAGGGGTTTGTTCGATCACATAGGATGCAGCGAAAGCATTATAGGGGTCTTTCTAATCCTCAGTGTGTGCATGGAATCGAGGTTGTTCCATCACCCAATCTCAAGGGTCTTGATGAAGAAGAGCAAAAGAGGTGGATGGAACTTACAGGAAGGGAACTCAACTTCTCAGTCCCACCTGAAGCAAGTGAATTTTGTACCTGGAGGAACCTTACTAACACAGAATTTGAGCTTGATAGACCCCTTCCTCCTTTAAAAACTCACCCACAGCCTCATCCAAAAAAGCTGCTTAATGGATCTGGTTTAAATTTGTCAACTCGACCATCAAACCATGCAAATGGTGGTGTTATGGATCTTTCCCCTGTCAGCAACAAGAGGAAGAAGGATTTGTTTCTAAATGGCAATGATGAAGACTGTTGTTTGCTCATCAATCAGCATAATGATAGGGTCAATGATACAGAGATGCACCCAATTGAGCCACCTTGGTTGAATGAGTTTAGTGGAGTAATGAGAAATGTTTATGGGCCGGTTACAGCTGCAAAAACTATTTACGAAGATGAACAGGGATACCTAATTATCATCAGCTTGCCTTTTGCTGATCTTAAAAGGGTGAAAGTTACTTGGTGGAATAATCTCACTCATGGTGTTGTAAAGATATCATCTGTAAGTACAACTTGCATGCCCTTCATTAAGAGAAACGATAGAACATTCAAGCTTACAGATCCATCTCCTGAGCATTGTCCTCCGGGGGAGTTCATAAGGGAAATAGCTCTACCCACCCGGATTCCTGATGATGCTAAGCTAGAAGCATATGGTGATGAAACAGGAACTGGCCTTGAAATCATTGTGCCAAAGCACCGTACAGGTCCAGAAGAACATGAAGTTCGCATCTGCCTCCGTCCTCACCGAGCAGCAAATGAGCTTTTGCTGTCTTGACTTTTAATTGAGGCTTCCATTGGAGAAATACAGAGATAGATGTGGTCAATTATCCATTATTTTGTACCAAAAGGAAAATTTTTTAAAGAAATAAATTTACATTTGGCTCTTTCCTTTTGCCGCATCACTTGCATCTCATGTTAACCCCTATGAGAATGGCAAGGATCTAGAATTCCTTTTGAAGCTTCTAAGTTGCAATTCTTGGGCTTATCACCTTAACTTATACATTGATGGTGTGTGGTAAGGTTAACGCAATCCCTCATATCTCCTATCTAATTGCTCGTTGGGTTGATTTTCTAGCGTTTTTGTATGCTTTTAACGCGTTGTTTCCGGAGGTTGTTTTAACTCTTCTCATTTTGTATGTGGAAAGAGATGTACTTCTTTCTACCATTCTATGAGCAAATTGGTCTTTTACCTGTCATATTCTTGCACCAACATAGAAATAATTCGTACTACAAAGCCTTCAGTTAGAGGAGCTGGTCTTAAATTTGAACACTTTCATTTGCCTTCAATTGGCGGAGGTAATCTTAAATTTGAAGATATTCTTTTGTGTTTAGTTTTTATAATGCTTTTGATGTAGAAGCATTTAGAATTTTATTTTATTTTATTTAGTTTTATTTTAATTTTAATTAGTTTAGGATTTTATTTTTTTATTCTACTTAGATTGAGATTCTTTTTTTGTTTTTATTAAGATTTTTAATATTTTAAGGATTATTATTTGATTAGGCATGTTCTACTTAGGACTAGAATATTTATTTTATTTAAATTTTTTATTGATTACTCTAATTGTATTAGACAATTAGAAGTAGAATTTTATTAGAACATGGTTTATAACAATATAAATAGAGTCTTTAAGCGTAATTATTATTCTAGTACATTAAATTGAGAATAAATAAAAAATGTTTGCTTAAGTAAGATTGTTTATTTCTCAAGACTCAACAATAGATTTTTTATATCTTTAGCTTAGCTAATTAAAGTGGGAATTTAATTATTTTTCACTTGAGGTTTTTTAATTTTGCTAAAATTGGTGTTATGTAATTTGGGTTCTTCTTGTTGTTGAGTTTCAAATCTCTTTGTTCGAATAATTTGTTTTCTTTTATTATTTTCATAGTTTTATCATTAATTTTTTTTATCATCACATTGTCATCACCAAATCATCGCTATCATATTTGCCGTTCCTCATTTGAGCTAACAAAATGTTATCAAGATGTTAAAATCATTAAATAAATGATCATGAGATTGAAATTGAAGAATTATGTCGTCAAATTCAAAAATTATAAAAGTAACTTGTAAGACGTAATGTTTTTCAAATTAATTACAATAGCTCAAGTGATGAAGAGGATTATATGGATTAGGAAGAATTAGAGTCAGTTTATGATGAATATAATGAATAAATAGAGGAAATTGATGTTTATTATGCACAAGGTGAGTCTTTAGTTATAAAAAGAAGTCGAGGAATTGTTGGAAAAAGGTTTAATATGTGAAAATAAAAATCTTTGTACTTGCCCAGCTTTGATAGAGAAAGACGGTTCATGGAAGATTTGTATGGACAATCGTGCCGTAAATAAAATTGTAATCAAGTATCATTTTCTTGTTTCTCGATTAGATGAGATGTTTGATTAACTAGTTGGTTTTAAGTTGTTTTCAAATATCAATTTAAAGAGTGAATATCATCAAATTAGAATGAGAAGTAGTTATAAATGGAAAATAACCTTCAAAACACCTTGGAACCAACTAATTGATCAAGTATTTCATCCAATCCAAAAATAGGAAAATAATAGTTGATTGTAATCTTGTTTATGGCATGACTGTCCACACAAATCCTCCATGAATTGTCTCTATCTCACAAAGTTGAGCAAGCACAAGGACTTTTACTTTCATGTGCTAGATCTTCCTCCAACAACTTCTTAACTTATCTTTGCACCATCAAATATTCGCATTGTGTAAGATGAACATCAATTTTCTCTATCTCCTCATCATGTTCATCATAAACCAATTCTAATTTTTCCTAATCCATATAATCCTTTTCATTACTTGAGTTATTGTAGTTAATTTGAGTAGCATTACGTCTTACGAGTTGTTTTTATAATTTTTAAACTTAATGGCGTAATTTCTCAATCTCAATCTTATAATTGTTTATTTGATAATTTTGACATCTTAACAGCAACTTGTTAGTTGAAATGAAGAACGCTAAATGTGACAACGAAGATATGGTGATGACATAATGATGACAATGCGATGATAAAAAAAAATAATGATAGAATTATAAAAATGATAAAAGAAACAAATTATCGAAAAAAGAAGATTCGAAACTTAACAATAACAAAAAATTGAACTACTTATTCTCTCAACACCAAACAAACGTTTGAACGTTATGAAAAACACACAAGATTAGAAACTCGATTAAAATAAATAACTAATTTTGACAAAGTTAGAAAATCTCATTCTTGTTCTTTCTAACTTCAACTATACATCAAAATATCATCAAAATAATTTACAATAACTTTCTAAAAAAACAAAATACTTGATTTATTATGTACATAAAAGTGCTGGGTGCATTAAAGAGGCTAAATGGCAACTGTTAATGCTCTTCATTTTAGCAAAGCACTAGGGATTGTTAACTAGCGGCAACTTGGCTTTGTGGCTGAAAAAGGATGCTGTGTTTTTCTGTTTCTAGTTCTATTGTGAGTTTTCTTGAAAGGCTTTATTGTGAGTTAATTAGGGTGCTTTCTTGCTGTATATATCCTGATATGTTGGTAGCCTTTATAGGCAATTTCCGTTAGAGAATTTAGCGGCAGAGCGTTTTTTAAGGCTGCCAAGAGTTTGTTTATGAGCAAACTTATTTTCTTTCTGTTTGGATAAGCACAGTAGGCCCAATAGTGTTCAGAGATGCTAAAAAAATCTTATTAACAGGTTCATATTTTCAAATAAGACAAGTTACTTTCGTTCTCACCAACCATTGATGTCATTAAGAGTATCTTGTAATTTAAATTAAAGATTTGAATTGTAACATTGCCGACGAGATTAATAAAATATATTTTTTTTACAAAGAAAAGGATAATTCGTTCTGGTTGGTAGTCATCCCAGAAACAATATGTACATAAGAAACGAGAAAAAGATTACATGAAAATGAAAACCAACAAGCACCAATGAACCACTCAAGCTGAGAAAACAGTCGCATTTTATGTTTCAGTTTTTAAACACCGGTGGCTAGTGCACCGGGGAAGATTACTTTTCTATTACAAAAACAATTTAAAAACAAAGCCGAAAGATAAAACAACTAAGTCCACCACTCATAACAAGAGATCCCTTAACCTATATCCAGCTTAATCTACTTCCTCGATCTTGGGACCAGCACCGCTTCCACCGCCGACAGAAGGACCGTCCTCGTCCATTGCTCCGCCACCCATATCACCACCAGCCCCCTGGTACATCTTGGCAATAATCGGGTTGCAAATGCTTTCCAGCTCCTTCATCTTGTCCTCAAACTCATCCGCCTCAGCCAGCTGGTTTCCATCAAGCCATTGAATAGCTTGCTCAATTGCATCTTCAATCTTCTTCTTATCAGCTGCCGGAAGCTTGGAACTGATCTTGTCATCCTTGATCGTGTTCCTCATGTTATAAGCATAATTTTCAAGAGCATTCTTGGCCTCAACTTTCTTCTTATGTTCCTCATCCTCGGACTTGTATTTCTCCGCTTCTTGCACCATCTTCTCAATCTCTTCCTTGGATAGCCTGCCCTTGTCATTAGTAATGGTGATCTTGTTCTTCTGTCCAGTGGTCTTATCCTCAGCGGAGACATTCAAAATACCATTAGCATCAATGTCAAAGCAGACATTGATTTGAGGAACACCACGAGGAGCCGGAGGAATGCCAGAAAGCTCAAATTTCCCAAGCAAATTGTTATCCCTGGTTCTTGTTCTCTCACCCTCAAAAACCTGAATCAAAACTCCAGGTTGGTTATCCGAGTAAGTAGAGAAAACTTGTTCCTTTTTGGTTGGGATAGTGGTGTTCCTTGGAATCAACACGGTCATGACTCCACCAGCAGTTTCCAACCCGAGGGAAAGTGGGGTGACATCCAACAGCAGTAAATCTTGAACCTTCTCATTACCCTCACCACTCAAAATTGCAGCTTGTACAGCAGCACCATAAGCAACAGCTTCATCAGGGTTAATGCTCTTGCAAAGCTCTTTCCCATTGAAAAAGTCTTGCAACAATTGCTGAACTTTGGGAATCCTAGTAGACCCGCCGACAAGAACCACATCATGAACAGTGCTTTTATCCATCTTAGCATCCCTCAAGCATTTCTCCACTGGCTCCATACATTTCCTAAACAAATCCATATTCAACTCCTCAAATCGAGCTCGGGTAATTGTTGTGTAAAAATCAATCCCCTCGTACAAAGAATCAATCTCAATTGTAGTTTGTGCCGTTGAAGACAATGTCCTCTTCGCTCTCTCACAAGCTGTTCTCAGCCTCCTCAAAGCTCTTGGGTTCCCACTAATATCCTTCTTGTGCTTCCTCTTAAATTCCTGCACAAAATGATTCACCATTCTATTATCAAAATCTTCACCTCCTAAATGGGTATCTCCAGCTGTAGCCTTCACTTCGAAAATCCCTTCTTCGATTGTCAAAAGTGAGACATCGAAAGTACCCCCACCAAGGTCAAAAATAAGCACATTCTTCTCCCCAGCACTTCCCGCCTTTTTATCAAGCCCGTAGGCAATAGCTGCAGCCGTTGGCTCATTGATTATACGCATAACGTTGAGACCAGAAATGACACCAGCGTCTTTCGTGGCTTGACGCTGGGAGTCGTTGAAGTAAGCTGGGACGGTGACCACGGCGTTTTTTATGTTGGACCCGAGATAGGCCTCGGCAATCTCTTTCATCTTCGTGAGAACCATGGACGAGATTTCTTCAGCGGCGAATTGCTTCTCTTCACCTTTGTAGGTGACGACGATCATGGGCTTGTCTCCAGGCCCAGCAATGACCTTGAATGGCCACAATTTCATGTCGTTTTGGACCGAAGCGTCGCTGTATCTTCTGCCGATCAAACGCTTAGCATCTGAAACATAACACAGCAAACAACAATAAACTATAAGCACAAAATTCCCGCCAAATTACAGA